CCACCCTGTGGAACGCCCTCCCACCAGATGTCAAAGGGGAAAACAACCACTAGACTTTAAGAAGACATCTGAAGGCAGCCCTGTTTAGGGAAGCTTTTAATGTTTAATAGATGATTGTATTTTAATATTCTGTTGGAAGCAGCCCAGAGTAGCTGGGGAAACCCAGCCAGATGGGCGGGGTATAAATAATAAATCATATATATATATATATATATATATATATATATATATATATTAGACCAGCACTTCGAATTGAGCCGAGAAACTATTTGGTAACCAGTGCAGTTGGTGCAATATGCTCAAACCGTCTTGCCCCGGTGAGCAACCTGGCCGTGAAATTCTGCACCAGTTTTCAATTTGTATTATGTTTGCATTCCTGGTGTTACAAGATTTCCAAAAGGTACAAAAGGTTCCAAAATGTGTGAGGCAGAGATTTGCCCCTCTTCCCAAATGGAGCTTAGTCTATCGTCATCACATTGATCAGATATGGGCTGACATGGAGACGGTGTGGCATAGTGCTTAGAGGGTTGTCGTCACTGGTTCCTGCCCTGCAGATCCCTTGATCTGTTGGACGCCTGGTCCACCCTCCTAGGATACCAGGATGGTGCCTTTCTTCATCTTCTTGGTGTGGTGGAAGAGGGTAAAAATAAATAAATTTGACAAACCTGTCCATAGAAGTTGAAGGGACCCCAAGGGTCAATTAGCAATGGAATCATAGCTAAAATATTTCTGACAGGTGGGATCCAATGCAAGAAAGCCTAACACGTTCTGAAGAAGTCCATTGCACTGTTCCTAAAGCTCCTCTGTTCAGGGAACTGAGATTGTGTGTGTGTGTGTGTGTGTGTGTGTGTATAACCTCTTTCCCACCCCCCAGCTCAGTACACCTGGGCCTCCCGTGTTGAAAAGGTGTGCAAGAATTGAATGGAAGCCTGCTTGCCTATTTGTCTAGGTGAATTAAAAACACAATCCCACTTCCCCAGAGGGATCTCTCGGTCTACATTTATGCATTTCATAGTCTTAACTTGTAAAATAGGACCCTTTTATGGTTACATAATAACTTCTCTTTCTCCGCATTTGAATATCAAGGCTTCCTGTCCTCTTTCGGATTCTGGTCTCCTACCTGAACTCAATTCTTCAATATATATTTTTTTGTTGGCCATTAATTCCTTCATCACGGAAATGAAATTCGTTTAATTCTCTATTGGGGTGGCTGAAAGAGATAAAAGTATGATGGCAAAGGAAATTCTCCCCCCCCTCCCCATACTTCTCTCTTGTAGCCCCCTGCCTTTCCCTCATTCATAACAATGTTTTGCTCACCTGGGTCTTAAAAAGACACTCTACTCCAAGTAAACGTCTTGCTTTTATTGTATTTTTTAAACCATCATCTTCACATCTTCCAAACCATTACAAATAAACAAACAATGTATGTGTCTGTGTGATCGGAATGGGATAAGAACATGAAAAGACTGGTATTCCAGTGGGATGGGATGGAATCAGATGCTTAGCCCATCCCATCTCCAGATCGTTGGGATCAGGAAAGGTATCTCCAGGTAGGCCTGAAACGCTTGCCAGTCAATACTGGATAATATTTGAGCTGGGTGGGACAAGACCCATGTATTGGTAAGAATCATGCATGGTCCATGCATTGATAACCTTAAGACTTGCGTCTCCAGCCATTTTTGGACTACAATTCCCAATATCCCTGACCACTGGTCCTGTTAGCTAGGGATGATGGGAGTTGTAGTCCAAAAACAGTTGGAGACCCAAGTTTGGGAAACCCTGGTCTACACTGACCAGCAATGGCTCTCCAGGGTTTCAGGCAGGAGGTCTCTCCTAGCCCTATGCGGTGATGCCATTGAAGATTGAATTTGGGACCTTATGCATTCCAAGGCTATGGCACCTTCCCACACACAGGAGCAGGTGACTGGGGGCATGCTACCCCGCTGCTGAGTTGTGGTGCATGCCAATGGATCACAGTCTAACTTGTGTTGTTTGTTGGTCAGAGAACAAAAAACCAACACACACCAAAAAACCAACTGTGACACATCTTGAGCATGAGCCAGTCATCACAGCCAAGGTGCCACATGGAAGACTCTGGCCCTGTGGATACTTCTCCCATCACAACACAATTTAACTCTCATGGCCGCCAACCAGACCAAATCATATTATAACTGCATTAAGGGCAGCCTAAGCCTCTGCTTATTAGAAAGCGATTCCAGAGGAACATGATCAGAAAGAGAGAGAGAGTTTTCAATTCACATTATGCTTGCTGGCATGGAGGCAGCATTACTGATGTTACAGGGGCTTTCAAAAGGTACTTTTAAAAGAAAATGTGTGAGGCAGGGATTTGCCCCCATTCCCAACGGAGCTTAGTCCTTGTTACCCACTCCGCCCCTAATACTGACCTTGGGCCTGATGGCCCCTTCAGGCCCATAAGCTGGTGCTTGCTTTGCATGCAGGACCTCAGGCCCGGGGTGTGTGTGTGTGAAATGAGCCTTCTCCCCAGTCTCTGTACCTAGAGAACCACTGCCCACTGGAGTGGTCAAGACAAGTCCATATGGGATATGGTGCCAAATGGATGTCAACAATGGTTTGGGCAATGTGAAAACCATGAGTTGTGCAATATGGGAGCTGTAGTTAGTGCAATGTGGAAACCGTGGTTTGTGCAATGTGGAAACCATGGTTTGGGCAATGGAGCCTCCATGTTCAAAAGCAGCTGTACAGCTGACCACTAGGGGGCCAATGAGCTGCGGCTGCCAGGCCCTGTTTAGAGTCTTCCAAGGCATGCTGGGCTGCCCTCTGTTGGGACCAGGGAGTTGGATTGGATGGGCCTGCCTTTGTCTGGCCCTGCAGGGCTCCCCCCTCTAAACGTCCTCCTAATTTCATTTCATTTTGCACAGTTCACTGGGGCCCCTTTGCAACTGCTGCCAGCGACTGACGGGTCAGCTCAATTGATCCTCTCCTCTTTTCTTTGGCACTCCCCGGGCAGCTTCTAATTGCCTCAAACAGAGGAGGTCAGAAGGTGGGTGGAAAAGAAAGAAGGAGAAACACCACCCCAGTTTATGAGCTGGAATACTGAAGAAAGGATTTTTGATCTCCCCCCCACCTGCCTTCCCAGTCTCCACCCGTCCCCATTCCAAAGACCCAGGCGTCTCCACCTCTTCTTTTATCTAACTCCTCGGGAGATGGAAGCCAGATCGTTTTATGGAGAGTTGGGCTTTTGTGCCAAGGCAGGAGGGATGAGTCCTGCCGCAACCTCTCCATGAACCACTCTTCTGCCATTGACATTATCCCCCTGGGTCATATTTGGCCTTACTAACTTTACAGTTCCAAGGACGTGGCTGGCGCTGTGGGTTAAACCACAGAGCCTAGGACTTGCCAATCAGAAGGTCGGCGGTTCAAATCCCCACGACGGGGTGAGCTCCCGTTGCTCGGTCCCTGCTCCTGCCAACCTAGCAGTTCGAAAGCATGTCAGAGTGCAAGTAGATAAAAAGGTACCGCTCCGGTGGGAAGGTAAATGGCGTTTCCGTGCGCTGCTCTGGTTCGCCAGAAGCAGGTTAGTCATGCTGGCCACATGACCCGGAAGCTGTACGCCGGCTCCTTCGGCCAATAAAGCGAGATGAGCGCTGCAACCCCAGAGTCGGCCACAACTGGACATAATGGTCAGGGGTCCCTTTACCTTTTACCTGACAGTTCCAGGGTCAAGAAATGAAGGGGGTTGGTTTCCCTTCCCTCCTAAGGATGAAAACCCACCACTGGCCAACCTACAAATCTATGGTGCAACCCCATTTGGAATACTGTGTCCGGTTCCGGTTGCCTTGCCACAAAATGGATAGAGTTGGGGAACTCTCAGGAAAGGGAAGCCCAAATGGAAAAGTGGTAGATGGAGAGACTCCCCTATGAAGCAAATTTGCAGCATTTGGGGCTTCCCAGTTTAGAGAGAAGGCGAGTAAGAAGCGACGGGATAGAAATTCATAAACTTGTGAAAGAAATGTGTCTCTTCTTTTCTCGTAATGCTTGTGGACGCCCAGTGACACTGGATGTTGGAAGATTCAGGAATAGATAAAGCAAAGGACTTTCATCAGAACCAAGTTAGACTGCGGAACTCACTCCTACAGGAGGTGGCGATGGATCCCAATTTGGATGGCTTCCAAAGAGGATTAGGTAAATTTACGGAGAGAGATATTGATAGCTGTTAGTTGGTGCTTGTCCATATAACCCTACTTTGTAACAGTTGCTGCTTACTGCAGCGACTACTATGCCATAAGACCCACTGTCCTGTAATATCACATATGGTATGTACAGTTATTTATGGTTTTATCTTATTTTTGCTGTAAAATGTGTGAGATCATGATATTATATTTATGTGTATTACTTAGAGCTTTAACTATTGATGAAGCCCAGGACGGCGAAACAAGGCCAATATTCCAGAAGTCCTTGTCTTAGACTCTGTGAAAGGATTCTGTGGAACTGTAACAACCTTTCATGTGGATGGTTTGGACTTTATGAACAGACAGGTGGAATAGACACCATTACACAGATGGACCTTATGCATGAACCGACCATAGAATGATCTGATCCACTGGGTCTTCTGGTTTGTTCATTTGTTGAACTTTATGAGTTACTTCTGTTGAAATTTACAACTTGATACTATGAATAGTACACCTTATTTATCTAAGAACCCAGCCGGTTACGTCTCATGTGTTTATTGAGTATGCTTTACGTGACCATAGGTCTGTTTGTTGTTGTTTTGTTAGTTGGAGGCAGCAATGTTTGTGAATAGCAGTTGCTGGGAACTGCAGAAGGGGGAGGGGCTCTTGTGTTCAGGTCCTGCTGGCCACTTTTGACAAGGTGGGTCATTGCTGGGTCATTGGCCTGAACCAGTAGGCTCTTCTTATGTTCCTATGTGTTCTCTCTTTCATAGAGTCATAGAATTATAGAGTTGGAAGGGACCCTGAGGATCATCTAGTCCAACCCCCTGCAGTGCAGGAATATGCAGCTGTCCCATACAGGGACTGAACCTTCAACCTTGGCATCATCAGCACTACACTCCAACCGACTGAGCTATCCAGGCTGATCTGTTCCAAGAACAGAAGGACACAAGAATAACCTGTTGGATTACTCCAAAGGTATTGATTTGTAGAGCAGTCTCTGTACCATACTGGAGTCAGGAATAAATATAAACCCTGCCATAGGAATTCTGTACTGCTGTGAAAGACCTGCCTAGCTATTTGTCGCAATTTGGCTGCACAGCAATCCATTCAACGTTATCAGTTGATGTTTACTCTTTAAATAAGGGAAGGGGAGCAGCTTAGCTTACCAGAAGTTGTCTGCCTCCATCTTCCTTCCACCCCAGCCAGCATCAACAATGGCCAGGGGTGATGATGGGGTCTCAGTCTCTTCCATCTGAAACTCTGCTGCTGTTGCTGCTGCTGCTGCTGCTGCTGCTGCTGCTAATAATAATAATAATAATAATAATAATAATAATAATATATTATTTATACCCCACCCATCTGGCTGGGCTTCTCCAGCCACTCTGGGCGGCTCCCAACAGAATATTAAAAACATGATAAAGCATCAAGGATTAAAAGCTTCCCTAAACAGGGCTGCCTTCAGATGTTTTCTAAAAGTCAGATAGTTGTTTATTTCCTTGACATCTGATGGGAGGGCATTCCACAGGGCAGGCGCCACTACTGAGAAGGCCCTCTGCCTGGTTCCCTGTAACCTCACTTCTCGCATTGAGGGAACTGCCAGAAGGCCCTCAGAGCTGGACCTCAGTGTCCAGGCCGGATGATGGGGTGGAGACGCTCCTTCAGGTATACTGGGCCAAGGCCATTTAGGGCTTTAAAGGTCAGCACCAACACTCTGAATTGTGCTCAGAAACATACTAGAAGCCAATGTAGGTCTTTCAGGACCAGGGTTATAAGGTCCTGGCGGCCACTCCCAGTCACCAGTCTAGTTGCCACATTGCTTGTCAGTGCTAACAATACTGAGCTTGATGGACCAGTGATCTGGCTTGGAAGAAGGCAGATTCCTGACTTTGTTGCACCCTCAGTAAGAGGAAGGAAAGTTAAAAGACGTGCAGAGAATGCCAAGACGGTTGCCACCACCCTTATCATAATCCCTGGGCCAATTTCCCCCCTTATTCCACCCCACCCTCCTGGAGAGCACCTCTCCTATTCTCTGGAAGGTGCATCAATCTGTTTGAGCTGGGCTGGCAGGCTCTGGGGAGTTAACAGTTCCAGCGGACTTATCACTAAATGCAGCGGCCCTAAATAGCAAAGTGGAAATTGCTCTTAAAAAAAAAAAAATGAAGTTGGCCAAGGAATTAAATTCTCTAAAGGCTAAAGAGAGAGAGAGAGACATATCATCATAGGGAACATGAGTTGAGTGATTGGAGGTGCCAACACAAAGTCAAATCCCAAAGTCTCTGGTGTTATAATATCCTATGGGGCTGGTTCAAAACCCTGCTTGGCTGATGGCAAATATAGGAAAATGAATTATACTAAGTAAGAACATTGGTCCAATCTCTTCTCCTTTGGTGATCACTTATAGCTGAGTAAGATTGTCTTCCATAAACACGGTTTTAACAATGAGTCCGTAAGTGACTGTGGAGGCCAATTCTGGATCCACACGTCCTTCCACAGTAGGGACATTGGTTTCCGGGCGGGAGTTGATCATGAAGTGGATTTGCCAAGCATGCTTTCCTCTTAGCATGTTTCTCCCTTGCGTCCTGAGTTCGCGTATCTTCAAAGCCCATGACACCTTTGGTAAAGGCTGTTCTCCAGTTGGAGAGCTTGCGGGCTAGTGTTTCCCAATTGTTTGTGTTTATACTACATTTTTTTAAGATTTGCCTTGAGACAGTCTTTAAACCTCTTTTGTTGACCACCAGCATTACGCTTTCCATTTTTAAGTTGGGAATAGAGTAGTTGCTTTGGAAGACGATCATTAGGCATCCGCACAACATGACCAGTCCAACGAAGTTGATGTTGAAGAATCTTTGCTTCAACACTGCTGATCTTTGCTTCTTCCAGTACACTGGCATTAGTCTGAAAGGGAGTCTCTCTCAACCCTACCTGGAGATGCTGGATATTGAACACTTTTGCATGCAGTGTAGCTGCCTTAACACATAAAGTAAAGTATGAATGGATAGCTCAGTTGGCTAGAGCATGGTGCTGATAACATCAAGGTTGCAGATTTGGGACAGATGCATATTCCTGTGTTGCAGGGAGTTTGGTCTAGATGCTCCTTGAGGTCTCTTCCACTCTGAAATTCTATGATTCCATCCCAGTTCTCGTGTTTTTGAAGGGTTGGTGGAAACAGGAAGCTGCCTTGTACTGAGTCAGCTCGTTGGCCAGTCTAGTTCAGTATTGACTACACCGGCTGGCAGAAACTCTCCAGGAACTCAGGGTGTTCCCCAGTCCTACCTGGAGATGCAGAAGTTTGCGTCCGAGTGCTTCTGTGTGCAAAACAGATACTCTCCTACAGAGTCACAGTAGGAGATCATCGGAAGTGCACCTCCTCTGAACATGGAATTATTCGCTTTGGGAGGACAGCAAGAGAAAATGCTTCACCTTTGCTTAGGGCAGGCAGAATGGAAATCACCATGAACTGGGCTGAGATCCCGAGATGAACAAAAGGCAGGGAGTTAGAATCACAGAATTGTGGAGTTGGAAGAGACCCCGAGGCTCATCCAATCCAACCCCACTTCTCTGGGGTTGCAGTTGGTTGCAAGAGAAGGCAGGCTCTCCTTTTGTGAACTTGCTTAAGTTCATACGCTCTCACACACAGAAATTATGAATAGCCCCTTCTTTACATTTGGCTGTGATATCTTGCCCTACGGTGTGACAAGGAGGCAGAGTGTCTCTCCCTCCCCTTTCTTTTTTGAATGGAGGCATTTATCGCCAGCAAGAGTGACAGATATCTCCGCAAAATGAACTGGACATCTCCTGGCACAATCTATGATATGTCAGGTGCCTTTCTCCTTGCCAACTTGCCAACATGAATGTACGTACATTAATTCCATTGGGTCTACTTATTCCTGCGTTGCGGGAGGGTTGGACTAAATGATCCTCGGGGATCCGTTCGAATTCTGCAATAGGATCAACATTGGATACAACACAGTGAACCTGATTTACCCCTTGTCACAAGTTCCCTGTCTCTGCGTCACACCAAAGCTCTTTTGGAGTTTTCTGACTTCTGAGTCTTATCCAGAAAATAATTGGAAGAAAAAACAACAACACACTCACCACCCAACAACTCTCAGGCTTTTTTTCTCAGTCTTGTGTTATTTCCTGAACAGGAGATCCTTTTTCTAAGAGAGCTGCTTAGAGGATCACCCTTCTTCTCTTTCTTTCCTGCTGTGTACTATTTTGGAAAGAGAGATTAAAACACAGAAAGAAGTTGTCTCTTGCTCCCACCCCTCTTTAGTTTCCCCTTTGAAACCTCCTGCTGTTTGGAGATTCCTTTGGCCTCCTCTTTCCTAGATAATTATACAGTGGGAGATTTACTACAATATCCTCCTCTTTGCTGCCACACCTTTCCTAGATCATCCCACCTTTTGAAAAGGGGGTGCGGCGGGTTGGGGGTGGGCAGAAGATTGGAGGGGGAGAGGGAAGGAATCTTTTGAAATTATGAGGTTTCAGTTGAGATGTTCCCAAATTACTCCCCCCCCTTTTCTTTCTTAATTGAAGGTCAGCTAAGTTGGCTCTTGAGCACAGTGGGCAAGCCTCCACAGAACCAGAGATCTATAAATTTATTTACTTATTCAGAGCATCGAGTCTGCTGGAAAGGCTCCCAGAGCAGTTTTGCAATCTGTGAGTAGAGTTGCTTATGATCTTAAAAAGTACCCAGCACAAAAGGAAAAAGGGGTGAGGAGGGAAGACGAAAACATGATCCAAGTTGAGCTGGTGGTCAGGCAAGAACTTGAAGGGCAGGGGAACAGCTCAGAGGTAGAGCACATACTGAAAAGTCAAGGGTTCAACCCCCAATGGCATTTCCAAGAAGGGCTGGCAAAGACCCTTCAGGGGCAGACTTTGGTAACCTTTGGTAATATGGCGCCCTGAGCAAGGTGCAAATTTGGTGCCCCCAAATGGATCTTCTCAATTATGGATCTTTTCAATTTGTGCCTCCTTGGCTCGATGCCCTGTGCAGGGGAACTGCCTGTACTGCCCTAAATCCAACTCTGGTCCCCTCCCTGTGAGCCAGTGTGGTGTAGTGGTTAAGAGTAGTAGATTTGTAGTCTGGGGAACCGGGTTCGCATCTCTGCTCCTCCACATGCAGCTACTGGGTGACCTTGGGCTAGTCACGCTTCTCTGAAGTCTCTCAGCCCCACTCACCTCACAGAGTGTTTGTTGTGGGGGAGGAAGGGAAAGGAGAATGTTAGCCGCTTTGAGACTCCTTCGGGTAGTAATAAAGCGGGATATCAAATCCAAACTCTTCTTCTCTTCTTCCCTGAAACCCTGGAGAGATGTTTCCTGCCATTGTAGACAATATTCAGCAATCTGGGTCATTGCTCTGACTCAATATAAAATAGCTTCCTATGTTCTCATCTGGTGGTGCGCTATTCCTTTTACTTTTTTTTAAATTCTGCTTCTGGGGTTAAGTTCCTTTGGGGTGAGTGAACTTTGGCCAGGTAAAAAGTGATATACAGGTTTGTTTATTTACTTGAATGTTCCTCACTCAGTTTCTAGTTATTTAAATGAGCAGGATCTCCACCCTCCTCCTCCTTTGCGACTGACCTTCCTAGAGAAGAAATGAGCAAAAAACAATTTCCAGGTCGCAGGTTGCAGGTGAGGGATCAACCTGTAAGATCAGGGAGAAGTGTCTAGTGTTAATTTTGACCAGTTTTATTCATATGGAAACATTAAGGCAGGTGCTGCCACCTAAAGGCCAAATCCGCAAGCAAATTTAGAGAGAGACCGAAGCAGGTTTTCAATTTTACCTAAGTATTTTCTGAGATTATGTATCCCGGCACGGTTATGGTAATCAAAAAGGATATTGCAGAGCTGGAAAAGGTTAAGAAAAGGGCGACCAAAATTATCAAGGGCATGTTGCCTCACACCTGCGATGAAA